TACTGAATGGATATTCTTCTGCCCAGCCTTATTCACAACTTAAAATCCCACTTTCCAATGAGATGGTATTTGGAGACAAGGCATTAATGTTATTAAGCCATGAAGGTGTGGCCCATGTGATGGATTAGTGTCCTTATAAGAGATGACACAAGAGAGCATGGTGCTTCTCTCAGTCAGTCTGAAGGTACCCATGTGCAAACGAAAACGAGGCCCTTACTAAGGGCTTGAGTATTCTGGCACCAACCTTAGACTTCTAGCTTGTAGAGCAGTGAGGACAACTGTCTGCTATTTCCCTCACTCATGATGGCAGCCCAAGCTAAGTCAGCCACAGAACAAGACTCGAGGACAGTTCCATCTAATGCAATCTAAACACAGAAACATATTTGACTGATTTGCTGAGGAGTTATACAACCATTATCAAATCATACTCAAATTCTACTCAGAACTCAGAACGCCCAACAGAAATGTCTGAAAAGAGCAGGGAAATGTGAGAAGGAAAACTGATCACATTTCATGTGGATTTTACACAGGCTGAAGGCATTGAGAAGGGACTCTTGTTCCTTCCAAGTGGAGGTCATTCGTGTCTGTATTTTGGTAGCTATGGCTTTTAAAGAAAATGCCACAGACTATATTTTATAGGGAGTCTCTTTACAAAATAAAAGGTGTTTTCTTTCTTTTGTTTTAATGTGGGTACATACACATAGTATAACATACACATGGAAGTCAGAGGACAACTTTGCAGAATCAGTTCTCTCCATCATATGTGGGTTTGGGGGAAGAACTAATGTCATCAGGCTTGCACAGCAAGCACCTTTATGTGATGAGCCATCTGACTGGCCCTTAAGGTATCTGCCTAAGGATAAATATTCCTCAACATACAGCACATCAAACTTTTGGTAATAAAGTATGTCTTGGTTACCTCTTAAGAATAACTACTAGTCACTCTTTCTAGAACATAGAAATGCCTTTGAGTCACAACTGACAAACTCAGATAATAATGTTGCCAGTAACAGTAAATTTACTGAAAATGTATTATCCTTGGAGTAAGACATAAATTAATGATGACAACTGTAACCAAGCAGTAATGGCATGTACAAAATACAGATACATAAGACTCTGCTGATGGCATTTTACATACATTAACACATAGGCATTACACTTATGTGTTAGATGAAGAAACTGCTTCTGAGAGCTGATGTCACTTCTCCTAAGTCACAGTGTAAGTGGAGGAGTCTAGACTCTAGGCCATGCCGTTTGGCTCTGTGTCTCGCAATTCATCTACTTCTCGCCACCACTGCCTTCTTAAAGATGAAGAAATCACAGTACAGAGATCACATATAGTTAGTAGGGGGCACTGTAAGAACTGAACATAGAGACTGCTCAAGACTGTACTTTGAACCTTTATGATTGGCTGCCTCCACAAACTAGCCCAACTCAAATCCCTTTCAGCTCTTCTAATGCCCACTGATGATTTCTACTTTGGGCTCAAACTTTGTCAGTAGGTGGTGTCTTTAAAAATGCTTTAGACACAAAGTATTAACCTCCTAGTTTGATAAGGAAATATAAATTTCAAATTCAAAACTTTATTTAGAAAAATCAATTCTCTGTAGAAACAGCAAGCAAACAAATGAAGGAAAGAAGTCAAGATTTTACAGTGCTTTAGGGATCACTTATGCACTTCTTGTTTTGTTTCTTGAGGCCCAGGCTAGCCTGGAACTTAAAATCCTTCTACCTTAGCTTTCCAAGTGCTGGTATTATAGGCACATATCACAACTTCAGGCTTTGTTAATTCATTTTCTTATGTAAAATTTTTTGCTACATACTGTCTGTGGCAGATTCTACAAAGTTTGAGACAATGTACTGTAAGAACGGCAGCTCTGGCCAGCTAACTGCAAAGGCATTGTGTCAAACCAATGGCAGTCTGTAGGTGCAGTGAACCTGTAAGTGCTTAACTGGAAAAGTAGAACCAATGGCATCTGAATTCTTGTTATTCTAGAAGTTACTTCTTATTATAACAGAAGAGAATGAGAAACACAGACCTCTGGAATAAGTGTATGAGATGGTTTATTTATTTTTCAATCTCTTGGTAAAATTACCTATGGACCTTATTTTTTGAAACCCTAATAAGTTTCTTGTTTGGCTAGAAAAAAGGCTGCAAGTAAAATACAATTCTGTTCATGTAGGAGAGTGATATGTTTCCTGCTGGGATAAGTCAAAAGCTCCTATATCTTGCCAACACAGAGAGGGCAGAATCATGTTCACTTATAAGTAAACCACAGCTATTATGTGGCCCCTACACGCCTCATGATGACAAATACACACCCCTGTAGAATGCAGACAAGGAGACCCAATACACTGATTTCCTCTGAGTTTTAGCTTTCTCTGACATGCAATACCCAACCCAAAGAGCTTTCTGGTTGATACCGTGCATTTCCCCTTAATTCACACCTGCAGGATAAAGTTGTATGGAAAGCTGCCCTTCTCACAACTTACCTCTTTATCCTCCTTGGCTGTGTTCAATATTAAGAGGTCTACATAGATTTGCATTAACTTAAGGAGTTTAAAACCAAGACACAGACATTTCAGGGAGAACTGACTCCAGAGTTGTGAGGTGACTAACATGCATGGGCAGTGGGTTCAGCAAGTGCAAGGTCACTGGGATGACTGAGCTTATTAATCACAATTATCACTTTTCTAGAAACTGATTTACTTAGTCAAACCTCAAGGGCATCAGATCAAAGGAAGATATTGCCACAGCCGGACTGTGTTTTCCAGTCAACTAGCCTGGTCTAGACAGTGTCCTGGCAGCTGTTTACCACAGCAGCAATTGATGAAAGAAATATAAAACAAAGTTTTAGATTGACTTCTAAAAAGGTTTCTTTCATTTCTTTGTTCTTCCGTATTTTTAGGATAGTTTGAGAGTAATGCCAAAGCCTTAGGAATGTCCTAGGTACTGATCCTTAGAAGTCAGAATACTCTTCCACAGGTAGATAGGAACATCAGGAAGAACAATATAGCTCACAGTACAGTTTTTTTTTTAAATTAAAAGACTATATTTATGATGAATCATCATAAAAAGCATATTTCAAACAGGCTAATGGCAGCATACTTTGTTTTTTTTTTAATTGTTAGTTTGCTTTAAGTTACTATAAACTTTAACAGGACACCGAAAAATTCTCTAAGATATAAATAAAATCATAACTGTAGAAATACAGTTATATGTCCTGGAAGTTCTCCCCCAAATGTACAGAAATTATAAAAGTGACTATTAACACACAAGAAGGAAAAACAAAAGGCCACAGAATTCAAACCCACTATGTCAAAAGCACAGCAAGACACACAAGGATCATGTGAAAATGAAAACAACAGAAAGCACACTGAGAGAATTCATGAACTGTACAGAAGCAAGATGTGAAAGTGATTATGAAAAAGAAAAATGGAAACAAACGAAAATCATTTCCGTAGTTAAGGAAAGCTGTTTCTCACCGTTCTGAACAAAATGGCTGAACTAAGAGCATCTGATTGGCTATGCCCATATACCCTCCTCCTCATCCTATGGGGAGAGATGACAAGGGAACAATGCCCCAGGGCAGCATGGGAATGAAAAAGAGTTGGTTAGTATTAAAACAAAGACATAAACATAATGTAGCAGAAAAGAAGTTCTTGGCTCTTTTTACATTAGGTTCTAATTCCATAAAATATCAAAATTAGTAATTAGTTTATTATTACATATCTATTCTTTCTTTTGCAGAAAGAATAGAGCAACATTAATCAAGTCGGAGCTTTTTATAATGAGTTGCCTCTTCCTTAACCTTTCTCCATCTTTGTTTCTCTCCCTCCAATTACTTCTAACTCATATCAAAACCCATTTCATTGAAAGGGTCTGACATGCATTTCACATAGGCTAGATACAATTATTTCTGGTATCAGAAAGCAGGTAGAGACAACACAGTGATTTCATGGTAGGGGACACCAGTCAGACAACTCTTCATTTTATAAGACTGGTCTATCTTCCCTCTAAAATATAAGGCATGCCTCAACTGGCTTAGTAAATATTATAGGAGTATTCTTCCTGAGTCTTAGAAAGAATAGCAATCTGGGTATCAGCTGCTACTTTCATCTGCACTGATTCTACAGCTTCTTCTAAGACAATGCCACAGCTGTCACTTAGTGGAGAGGTTTAACAGGGCAGTTTTCTTCAGCTCTGCAGTCATATGGATATAATTATTAGGCTATTATTTTTCCTCTTAGCTTTATATTTTTATATATTTTAAGGTTGGGTGTGACAGAGATGTTGAAACTGATTTTGGGCAATCTGTTCAATACTTTTCCCTACCCATCACCTTCAAGATCTTGAGAGAATTTTCTTCTTCCAAAACATAGCAACTCTTATGATTCCCTTCAGTTTCATCAAAGTCTTTTTTACACTGATGACAAGCTAAAGCAATAATGTTCCTTGAGAATGTCCTGTTCAAGGGATCCACCAGGAAATGTGGAAAGAAACTGCTTCAACTTTCACCTCTCCCATCCCCTTTGTTTTGGTGGTACTGGAGATTGAACTCAGGGCCTTGCACATGCTAGGCAAGCTCTCTTCCACTGAAGTAAATCCCCAGCCTTTAACAATCACCTTCAATAGGTGATGGGCAGAGACTTCATAACTGCAGCTCAATAAGAAGTAATTTTTATTCTGAGTCATGCTTCACTGAGCTTGAGAGAAAAGGGACTTGCTTTTCTAACAAGTCACTGTTTCTCATAGAAGTAGAAATCAATTTTTATCATCTCTATGCAATGATTTAAAAATAGTTCTCATAAATTATTCAGGCATATCTCTTAAGATAGTCAAAAGCATCAACTTTTTAAATAGGAATTATTTAGGAAAAAAGTTCAGTTTTTAGAAGCTGAATTAGCTATTTTCTTCTAATTTCTAACATGATACCACAAAAATACATGGATCTAAAAGTGTGCTTTTTAAAAAATGAAGCATTCAAGGGCAGTCTTACCTGATCTGGGGAGGGTCTATGATTCATCTGATTGGAATGGGAGGATTTGGGGTGGTCATCCTCATAGTTGTCAGCCATTAGTTTCATTCGATTTTGTGTCTACAAAGAAATGATTCATAGTTTAAATTTAGATAAAATCCCTATGACATACAGTAAAGCAACAAGTACCTTAAAAGCATGAAACTAGTCCTGTCCAAAAAAATCGGTTAAACCCAGGAATTTGGAGGATACTGTGAAGTGTTCAGCCACTGCTATTCAAATACTAGTACCCTAATCCTTGGGGTTACTGCATCTGGAGACAAGGTCTTTAAGAGGAAATTCAGATTCAGTGAAGTCAAAGGCTTGACTCCTAATTCAGAGCAACTGAGACACAAGTCCTCTCTGTAATTCTCTGCTATGTGAACAAGGAGAAGACTGCCTCTGCAGGTAAGGAAGAGGAAGACAGCTCACCAGGAAATGAGTCAGCTGAGACCTTGATCTTGGACCTCCCAAGCCTCTAGCCTTGAACAAATAGATTACTGTTATTTAAGCCACCCAGGCTATGGGTATTTTGTTGTGGTAATTTAAGCTAAAATAGGAAAGTACAGGAAAGATAATATTTTCAAAGCAAGCACTATTTATAGTACTTAATTTTATACTGACAAAGATTGGATTGTACTACATATACTTTTTGACTTTATGATACTTAGATAAGACATATATTCATTTTAATCTAAGAACTGACTCATCTTTTAAAACAACTGTTCAGCTTTTGGAGAGATTTTATATAAACAGTCAGATAATTGGTATTGGGGGAAAGTTATTTATAAATTAAATAATATGGTCATCAAGAAAATCTAAGAGAATTAAAGAGCTTATAACTTATTATAGAGTTTAGTAAGGTGATAAAGACAGAAGTTGCATACATAAAATTCAGTAGCTTTTCTTTATATTATCAATAAATAATTTAGGTTTTGAAAATGAATAAAATGTTCTAAAATCCTCCTCCTCCTCTTCCTCCACCACCACCATAACTAGTTAAATGACTGATATAGTAAACATCTTTGAGACTCACTCTGTGATTCAGAATATGAAAACATAATATATGTTATACTCATAAAATATTGTTGAAATGAACATTAAAGACGTGCTAATGGACTGAAGGAATGACTCAGTTGTTAAGAGTGTGTACTGTTTTTCCAGAGGACCCAAGATGAGCTCCTAGCTCACAATTACCTGTACCTCCAGCTCCAGGGAATCTGATTCCTTCTTCAAGCCCCTGCGAGTACCTGAACGCACATACACATATCTACCCTGATACTTTTTTTTAAATGCTAATAGTATATGATTTTAAAATGGTCACCATGAATAATCAAAGACTAAATTAAAGATTACCTGTGATTCCCCTATTCAGTGACTATCATTACTATCTAAGTGTTCCCATTCAGTTTCCTCCCAGTGAACATATAAAAGGAAGGCTCTTCTGATTCACCCTCCTTTCTGTGTCTAGTTCTATTGTACATGGTACTTTAAAAATCACTCTAGCTGATAGTGTATTTTGACATCTAGCAGGAGATGATGTCCTTTTTCCCCACCAGTTTGGCTGAGTCAAAATGTGACTGGTTATTTCTAACAGTTTTTTAAAATCAAATGTATGTTTTCTTTTTAAAGGCCAAAAATTTGTGTGCTGTTTTATTGTATGTTACAGCCAGCATATTTAAAAATAGTTATAACCTTGTGAAACAGAAATCCATGAAAATTCAGAGAGGTAGCTGTTAAGGACTGACAAGTAGAAGATTGTAAATTATAGCACATGTGTTACAGGGATTCTTTTGTATAGGCTTCAAACTTAGTTCTCTTGAATATTCACTGGTTCATGAACAGTGGCTTAACAAACCTCTGAAAGGTCAGACTATAGAAAGGAGTAGGTTCTGAAGGGATCTGTGCTTGAAGACACTCCAGTCAACAGAGGGTCACATTGAACATCCTGCAGACAGAACTGTTTCAAGTCTGCAGCTGCCTGGGAAACTTTCACGTGGTTGAGGCTGGCCTGCAGCCAGAGCTGCTGAACCACCTTCCTCATGGCGGCAACGCTGGAGGAACCCAACATAGCACATCCATTAGCCGGGCCAAGGTATCCTTCCGTGCGAGGGGTGGCAGGTCGCCAAATATATGTTTTTTAAACATTTTCTCCCATTCTGGGGTTACCTTTTCATTTTTATATTGGTTTACTCAGAGCCTCAATTTAAAAAATTTATTTGTGTGTGTGTGTGTGTGTGTGTGTGTGTGTGTGTATACATGTGAGATGGTGTCCTCAGAGGCCGGAGGCATTGGCTTTCCTGGAGCTGGAGTTACACACAGTTGTGAGTCACCTGACATGGGTGCTGGGAACCCAACTCCAGTTCTCTACAAGAGCATCAAGTGCTCTTCAACGATGAACCATCTCTCTGATCCCTTTTTTGCTCATGTTTTATGTTCAAATAAACTCCTCATAAATCTATAACTACATCAGAAGTTTAATAACCAGGGTCTTGTGGCCCATCAGGAGTTCCAGGCCAGCCTTGGCTACAAAGTGAGCTGGAGGCCAGTCTAGGTTGCATGAGACCCTGTCTCAAAAACCAAAACCAAAACCAAACAAACAACTTAGGGAAAAAACCTCTAGCAGGCAAAGGGCAGGGAGGATGAAGGACATCAGAGGCACAGGATGAGGGTAATTTGTGTCAGAGTTCCATCCCAGCAGTGTGCTCATCACATGAACTTTACTATGCTACTCAGGCTCTCTGTACTTCAGCCTGTTCATTTGTACAGTGAAGATGAAAATTCTACCTGTTCCATACTGTTTAAGGATGAAATCTATTGTCTAAAGTTCTTAGAATGACTGGTATATAGCATTCAGTTATGTTGGCTTGGAAAGAGACTGTTGTTATTTTATCTTTGTAAGTGTGTGTGTGTATATGTGCACACATGCCACAGTGCACCTGTCTCCATAGGTAGTCGGAGGACAACCTCAGATGTTAGTCTCCAGCTTCCACTTTGTTTGAGACAGTTTTACCAGGGTGTATACCAAGTTAGGTGGCCCAGGAGTGTTCAGGGATTCTTAGGTCCCTGCTTCCCATTCTGACATAGGAGTGCTGGAATTACAGACATACACTACTACTTCCAGTTTTACTCAGGTTCTAGGGATTCAAATCAGGTCCTCCTGCTTGCTTGCCAGAGAAGTGCTTCTTTCACTGAGCCATCTTAACAACTCAGGTTTTTTTAAAAAAATATTTTATTATTTTTATTTTATGTGTATGCGTGTATTGCCTGCATGTAGGTAAGTGCACCTGTGTCGTGCAATGCCCGTGGAGGACAGATAAGGCTGTCAGATCCCCTGGAACTGGAGGTACGGACAGCTGTTAGCTGCCTTGTGGGTGCTGGGACTCAAACCCGGGTCTTCTGCAAGAGCAACCAATGTCCTTAACTGATGAGCCATCTCTCTGGCCCCAACAACTGTTTTTAAAAGAAGGCAAATTAATTAAAGTTTTTAGAATAATGCTTGGTATACAGCGTTCGGTTAATGTTCATTTGGAAAGACTTTTTTCAAGTATGTGTAGAGGGGCTAGAGAGAGGGCTCAGCAGAGTACTGGAGTTCAGTTCTCAGTACCCATACTGGCCATCTCACAACTGTCTATAGCTCTAGCTCCAGGGGATCTGACTCCCTCTTCTGGCCTCCATGGGCATACACACACACACACACACACACACACACACACACACACACACACACAAAGAGGCATCCAAACTCATGTGCACACACACATACACATATATACACATAAATAAAAACTTTTTTACAATTCTTAAAAAGACCCAAAGTACATGTAGATTTGCTAAATAATCAATTGAACACTTAGTTGGTAAGTCAATACCCACTAAAAGAGAATTAATCAAGTGGGTGAGGTACTGCGAAAATTACTCAAAATACACCACAGAGATAAAATGGGATTGAAAATCTGAGAAACTAGGAGCTGTAGAAAATATACTAGTATTCATTGTAGAGGTATTTTGAGAAGAATCATGACAATCCAGAGGGGCAAATAGGAAAATTTTGTGTATGGGAAATGGAAATTGCAGAACAATTACAAGGACAACGAAGATGTTATATACTAAAATGTGAGGGGCTGAGAGGCTAGTAGAGTGGCTCTTAGAGGAAATTTAAACTGCTAAATACATATGTAAGACTAGAAATGAATGAGCTAAGCTAAAGCTCAAGAAATCAGAAAAGGAACATAAAATTTCAGATTTGTCTATCAGGAACTTACAATTTATACAAGTCCAGGAAAAAAATCATACTTACTTCAGAATGCCTTGTTCAGGGATAAGACTGTTAATAATTTAAATTCTATCTTAGGTGTTCTCTACCTGGAAAACTAACTACTGCAAGCAGCATCTAAGTATTAAAGCCCAATGATCTATTTTTTATATACTTATATTTTATGAAACTTCTGAAATACAGGAGAAATGCCTTGAAACTAAGGCAGAAATGATGTCCATTCTTTCCCACTGCTAGTCACTCTTGCAGGAATTTTTAAACAACAGCTTTGTAACCTCTCATCTCTATGAGCTCTTATTTGGAATGCACATTCTTTTTTTTTTCTGTTTGTTTGATTGTTTTAGACAGGGTCTTACAGCTGTAGCTCTAGGTAGATGGGAACTTCCTATGCAGACCAGGTGGGCCTCAAACTGTAGCAGTCCTCTTGCCTCTGCCTCCCAAGTGCTAGGATTACAGCTGTGAGGCACCATGCTTGGCCAGAAATTCACTGACTCTTAAGAAACCAAACTATGATTTTGTTTTCCCCACTTATAGGCTACTCATTAGCCTAGCCAACAATGTCCAAGACAATTATTGACATGAGAAGACATCTTTTGATGCAAGTTGGGGAAGATATTTTTATCTATGAAGATTTGGATGAATTTTTAAAAACTGTGATATTCCTTTGTAGTAATGTGTATATTTTTACAGTACCTTAAAATGAGGGTAGATTAAAGTTTTATTTATTACAACAGATTTATTTATTACAACATAATTTATTATGATCTTGGGTCATTAAATAATATAGCTAAAAGTACTGAAATCTCATACCCAAACTACATAATGTTGATAATATACTTCAGTGTAGCAAGTAGGCGTGTAAATTCTGTAGTAATCTAATTTGCTGTGACTCTCGGCTCAGTGACTTCCTAGGAGTGACTTAGGGAAAATTTCTTTAACTTTTCTCGGTTCTCTGTACAACAATGGTAATTTTACTTACAGAGTTGTGGTGAGGATTAACTGAGTTCATTCATGTAAGACATTAAAAACAGGGCTCAGCTGAATAAATTCTAGCTATTAATACTTTTGAGATGACTAACTGCATAAATTACTGTTTTGTAGAAGGCCATCCATGTGACAGTAAAGACAATGTAGTTTGGTAAATCACATAAATTATGATACCTTGTGTTCTAGTTTATTAAACATCATTTCTCATCCTTGAATGCAAGTATCATTTAAATTCCATATTTCACTTTTAATAAGTCAAAAGAGACCAAAAGAGGAAGGAGGAAAAGATTCTGTGGGAAATACTGGTCTGACTCCCAGCAAAGCCCAATCTGTCTAGTTTCAATCACGCCTAATGAGAACTGACAGATACAAGAAGCAGGGATGGGAAGGCACCGGATACGGCAAGAATCTACGTTGATTTATTTGTATCAATACAAATTCAAGAGGAATCAGGAACATAGAAGATTTCTGTATTAATTCCCTGTGGTATCATAAAAGACAGCAGTCTTGACAATAGGAGGGGCAAGTTTTATAGTAGGGAAGAAGGGTTAAAAAAAGAGCCTTATCAAATTGCTTATGAAGAATTTTCCTACATCCAGAATTGATGACACTCTCCCATTAATATACACACATGTAAAAAATTAGATGGATGAAAGAAAACTGGGATAAATTCAGACTTCCCTACATTTTTCAACCTCTTCAGTTACCTAGTACAAAGCAGAATTTATTTTAAAAGTATGACTTATTTCTTTGTAGAATTAAAATGTGCCTTCACGTCAATAGTAAAAGGAAATTAGATTAAGCATAAAATAATTTCTGGATTTTCAATGTTAAAAAATTTCACTTTGAAGGTGAGAAAGAATGAAAAATAGTGAAGAAAGCCTTTGGAACCTATAATACATCATTAAGCAATATTTATTTATTTATTCACAATAAATATTTATTCACAATATGGGTATTCTGGCAGGAGATGATACAGGAGAAGGACTAGTCACAAAGTTCCACAAAGCTCAAGGGATTTCAATTAGACTCAACTTAAAGAGGTCCTCTCTGAGACTTATTACCACACTGGTAATAAGTCTGGTAAAAAGTCAAAGACAAAAGAGAATTCTAAAGGCATCAAGAGGTATATGTGGTACAAAGGCCTGTAATGTCTGAACTTAGAGGTGCTGGCAGAGAATCAAGAGTTCAAGGTCAGAAGGAGTGATATAATGGGTTTGAGGTCACCATGTGCACACACCATGGCACAGATGTGAAGGTCAGAGGATAATTTGCAGGAGTTGGTTCTCTCCTTCCATTAACTGGGTCCAGGGACAGAATCAGGTCAACAGGCTTGGCAGCAAGAGACTTCACCTACTGTTGAACTCCTTTCTTCTCACTCCCAGCATTCCAGATACATTTTGAAAACATGGAGATTGCCTGCCTCTGCCTTCTGAGTGCTGGCACAAATAAAGATCCTTACAGGAATGTTAAGCATTAAATTTTGGAAGGATAAAGGCTGAAAAAGCCATGGGCAAAACTCTGTTCTTCAGAACTCACTCTACTCTGAATAACTAGAAATCTTTATTTATTTGTGTCTCTGTGTGCGGGTGTCAGATCCCCTGGAGTTGGAATTACAAGTAGTTGTAAGTTTCCCGATGTGGATTTGGAGAACCAAACTCTGGTTCTCTGGAAGAGCAGTAAGTGCTTTAAAACAATGACCCACTAGAAATCTTTAATCAAAGTATACTGAATACCTGTGTAAAAAGAACCTAGTTGGGATGTCTTTTTTATTTCAAATAGGCAGCACAAATTTCTAACAGTTATTGTACAAAGATTTTTTTAAAAAAAGTCACAAAGACTTGTGACATTTTCTAATCTAGTCCTATCAGGAGAATTCTATGCATTTTTTAGACACAGTCATTGATCTACATAGTATCTAATTATGAAAAATAACTGTATCGGATGTCGAGTATGAAATGTGAGGCCCTAAAACACATAGTGGCAAAGACAGTTCTGAGAAATAAGTGGATGCTGTCCCTGCCTTGCCTGCCCCCACTGCCCTCTGGCATCACTAATACCTGCTGTTTGAGCTGCTGCACCAGGCGATCCTTTTCCCGTTTGAGTGCAGCCACTTCCTCCTGGGTCTTTTTCTTAGAGGACGAAAGCTCCAAAAGAGCTATATTAGCATCTTTTTCACTAATGGCAGCCAGAAGAGCTTCTTGCCTGGAAAAGGAAGAAAATTATTTAAACCTTCAATTCTTTTAAGTTACTATTACCTTTGTTTTATGGATGATGAAAAAGATTTAGAGACTTTATAGTTTTCTCATGGTCACACCTGGAATAAATAGTACAGTACAGGCCTATTCAGGTTTTCCTGATTTCTTAGATGTCTTTATCATGCCATTTGCTCTCTTAATGACAAATTCTTATGTAAGCCAGTTCTAGAAGGACAAAGACTGCAGAGTTTCACCTACATAAGGGATCCAAAACAGTCAAACACATGGTATCAGAGCAGAATAGTATTTACCAGGGACTGAGGGAAGGGGCAAATGGGGATCTACTTTCTCAATTATGCATGGTGTGTAATTTCCAGAGATGCCCTGTATGACATTTTATAGTTAATGATACCATATTGGACACTGAGAAACTTAGGGTAGGGGTAGAGGAGATGGCTCAGTGGGGAACAGTGCTTGCTGTGCAAGAATGAAGATCTGATGAATTTGAATCCCTGGGCACCCATGTAAAAATCCTAGTAAACTTAGCATTGGGTGGTGGAGACAGGCAGACCTGGGAGCTTGCTAGCCAGCTAGCCTAGCTGAAAAGGTAAACTTCAGGTTCAATGAGACTTTATCTCAAGAAAATAAGGCAGAGACCAAAAGAGGACGATACTCGAAGTCCTCCTCTGATCACCACATGCACATGAATGCACATGAAAAACACACACAAACACAGACTCATATACAAAGTCACCCCAAAGAACAAGAAACAAGAGTAGCTCTCCAGGCAAGTATTATTTATC